CCCGTCCCCGTTCCTATTCCCATTCACATTCCCATTCCCGTTCCCATTCCCATTACCATTGCCATTATCATTACACTTATCATTGCCGTTGCCATTGCCATGGCCAGTATCATTGTCATTGCCATTGCCAATCCCATTGCCATTGTCATTACCATTACCGTTGCCATTGTCATTGCCATTGCCAATCGCTACCCCCTTACCATTACCATTACCGTTACCATTACCTGTACCAGTACCATTACATTACCCCTGTCATTGCCATTACCATTACCATCACCATCGCCATTGCCATTGCCATTCGTCACTACCATTACCATTGCCAGTACCATTTCCACTCCCATTCCCATTCCCATTACCATTAGCATTACCATGATACTACCGCTGTGGAGGGTTTCAGTAGGAATCCACATGTGGAGGATTTCGGTAGGACTCATTCAGTGGAGGGTTTCGATAGGAACCCTTCTATCGAGGATTTCACTGTGAATCCTTCTTATAGGGGGCGTCCAATAGGAATCCTTCTAGGGGGGAGGGCAGATGTTGCCACGTCGCATTCCTTTTTTTTCTCCTGGCGACCCCCCCAGAAAAAAAAAAAAAACAAAAAAAAACAAAAACAACAAAAAATGTTTCTGGGGGGGGGGGCGCCAGGGGGGAACAAAAAAAAAAGGGCAGAGAGGTAGCAGGAGGGGGAGAGGGAGGAGGAGGAGGAGGAGGAGGAGGAGGAGGAGGAGGAGGCGGAGGAGGAGGAGGAGAAGGAGGAGGGCGACACAGAGCAGAGTTTGCACAGAAACAGTCGCGAACTCAGCGCGAAACCCTCGCGCGCGCGCTTTTGAACCCCTGCGACTCCACAATCCCCCGTTCTCTCTGGCTCCCGACGCTCCAAGATGGCCCAAGAGGCCCCCAAGGCCGCCCCAAGACAGCCCAAGAGGCATCCAAAGGAGCCCCACGCGGGCCAAGAGGGCCACGAGTCGCCAGAACATCGTGCCATGACGCCGACCATGGCTTCCATACGGCCTCCAAGGCCCCCCAAACACCCGCAGAGGCCTTGAATATGCGCCCCAAGACGGTCCCCAGACGCAAAAGTCGCCACATTCCTTTCGTAAGCCGTACATGTTTGGAAAAAACACCTTCTCGGCTTGCCGACGCTCCTAGACGGCACAAGACAAGAGGCCCCCGATGCCGCCCCAAGACAGCCCGGGACGCCCAAGAGGCGCCCAACACGGCCCAACAATGCCCCAAGACGGGCACAAGAGAGCGCGCCCCGTCCCAGGAGACCGCCAGGAAGCCCAAGAGGCCCCCGATACGCCCCAAGAACTCCCAGGAGATCCCCCAAAAGGCCCCAGGAAGCCCCCCAGAAGCACAACAGAGGCCCCAACAGGCTCCAAAACACCCATGGAGAAGTCCGAACCTGCCTCCGAAACCCGGCGATAGCCGCCACAGAAAAATAAGGGGTCGGCGGATGTGGCGTAAGCCTGTAGAATCAAACCCTAAAACGTATCATCCCCTGGCCTGCAAAACCATTGTGCGACAGACCTGTATGAAACTGCCTCGACGGCCAAACAATACATCCACCACGGCAGGAGAAAGGAGGAAGGGGGATAAAGGAGGAAACGAAGACGAGGGGGCGAGGAGGACGAACGTATAAAGCGAATGCCCGCACGTCCAGATGAGGAATCGCAAGGCGGCGACCGCTGGCGAGCCAGTGCCAGGTCAACGAGGCACGATTGAAGCTGAAAGTAAACTACGAGGATGCTGCGCTCAACAACTGAAGGCCTCAACTAGAGCTCGCAACTGCATGCGCCACAGGGAGCGTTGACGCCGCAATGCCCACTCCCACCACGCACGCGGATGCAGCAACCTACGCATGCACCACATCGCCTGTGTACATAAAACGACTGGGTGCATGGCGCTGCCCCTGTGCACCACAGCTCCTGTGCACACAACTGCGAATGCGTACGCCGCAACGCCCTTGTACAAAACAGCTGCGGCCACACAAGCTCCCGGGTGCACAACACGACCGCATGCACACAACAGCAGCCGCGCGCAGCGCGGCGACTGGCGCTCACGCGCGCCACATTGTAATGTACACCACGAAGTCCGCGTACATGTCGAGGGCCCCGACGAGGCCCATAAACCGAAACTCGTGTTCGCGGGGGGGGGGGGCGCGAGCGTATCAAATTGAATATGCAAATCCTTGTGTGTTTATCTGCCGCCCGGAAACCACCCCCGCAAGTTTTTCGAACAAAAACAAACTCTGCGCACCCCTGTGCTTGCGTACGGATGGACCCCTGTGCCTGTGTACGCCGCCAGCATGTGCACCACAGTGCCCGCGTACACCACAAAGCCCGCGCACACCTCCAGGAACCAGACGGTGTCAAACTCCAACAAATCATGGCCAGCTCGAACATGCCACATTCTAAATGCAAGTTGTTTGTGTACATTGGCCACGGGCACGGCCCCTACCCCCGTTGCTTGCGCGCACAATAGTATCAGTGTAAACCAAAATGCTAGACACCAGCACGCCTGTGTGCATCACAACTGCCGCCGCAGCCGGCGTGTGCGCTATGAACACCGAAAAGCTTGTCGCCCCCGATGTGAGTGCGCCGCCGCGCCTGCGCGGGTGCCACAACAGCTTGCGCGCGCCACGCGCCTCTACGTACCACAAGCACATGCTTACGCACACTGCAAAACACGTTGCGCGCACTACGAACAGCATACCTGTGCGCTACCTATACGACCACCCTTCGGGTGATTAGGAGGTTCGGGGGGGGGGGGACCAACGTCTCACTCGATCGGTCTCACTATTGATCTCACTATCGATCTCGCTATCGGTCTCGCTGGATCGTCGATCGATCTCACTCGATCTATTTCATTCGATCGATCTCACAATCGATCTGACTACCGATCTCACAATCGATCTCACTATCGATCTCACAATCGATCTGACATTCGGTCTCACTATCGATCTCACTATCAATATCACAATCGATCTCACAATCAACGTCAATATCATCATCAATCGCATCATCGTCATCAACATCATCATCAAGATCGGGACACCATCATCGTCATCATCACCACCTCATCACCACCATCAACATCATCATCACCATCACCATCATCATCGGGCCACCATCATCGTCACCATCGCCATGCTCAACATCATCATCATCATCATCATCATCATCATCATCATCATCATCATCATCATCATCATCATCGGGACACCATCATCATCATCGTCGGAACACCACCATCATCATCATCATATCATCATCATCATGACCAGCATCATTAACATTATCATCATCATCGGGACACTATCATCATCAGCAACATCACCATCAGCAACATCATCATCATCATTGGGACACCATCATCATCGTCACCATCATCATCACCATCACAATCACAATCATCATCATCATCATCATCACCATCATCATCATCACCATCACCATCATCACAATCACAATCACAATCGCCAACATCATCAACACCAGCATCATCATCATCCCCATCATCGGGCCACCATCATTCAAATCATCATCATCACCCCATCATCATCCTCATCATCATCATCATCGGGACACAATCATCGTCATCATCATCATCATCATCATCATCATCATCATAATCATCGGGACACCATCATCACCATCACTACCATCATCAACAGCACCATCATCAACCTCATCAGCCTCACCATCATCATCATCATCATCATCATCATCATCATCATCATCATCGGGACACCATCATCATCATCATCTTCATCAGCATCACCATGATAATCTCATCATCATCAACATCATCAAGATCATCAAATCATCATCATCAGGACACCATCATCATCATCATCATCAACAACATCATCATCAAAATCATCACCGGGACACCATCATCATCACAACCATCACCATTATCATCATCATCATCATCAACATCGTCAACATCATCATCATCATCATCATCATCATCATCATCATCATCATCATCATCGGGACACCATCATCATCACCACCATAACCATTACCATCACCATCACCATCACCATCATCATCATCATCATCTTCACAATCATCAACCACATCATCATCATCATCACCATCACCATCACCATCACCATCACCATCTCCATCACCATCACCATCACCATCACCATCATCATCATCACCATCACCATCACCATCACCATCATCATCATCACCATCATCATCAACATCGTCAACATCATCATCATCATCATCACCATCATCAGCATCATCATCATGATCATCATCATCATCATCATCATCGTCATCATCATCATCATCATCATCATCATCATCATCACCATCACCATCATCATCATCATCATCATCATCATCATCATCATCATCATCATCATCATCATCATCATCATCATCATCATCGGGACACCGACTGACACCGGCGGGACACTGGCGGGACACCGCGGGCCACCGGCCCCCGGAAAAGAATCATTTGGTCCGGCCGCACCACAGCCGGAGGCGGGACATCGAGAGAGCTCCTTGAGAGCGCACGGCGTGCTCCAGGAAGGAGGAGGAGGGAGGAAGAGGAAGGAGGAGGAGGAGGAGGAGGAGGAGGAGGAGGAGAGAGGGAGGGGGTCGGAGGAGGGAGGGGGAGGGGGAGGGGGAGGAGGAAGAGGAGGAGGAGGAGGAGGAGAAAGAGGAAGAAGAGGAGGAGGAGGAGGAGGAGGAGCACAAGAAGAGGAGGAGGAGGAGGAGGAGGAGGAGGAGGAGAGGAAGCGGCGCGTGCAAACGCTGCGCGGCACGGATGGATTGAAGAATCGGGGCGGGCCATGGCGTCCAGCCACGCGCGCGCTGGCCTCGCCCGTCAGGCGCCCACGGCTCCCGCCGCGAGGTGCAATGTGGGTGCGGTATTGCGCGTGTCGTGCTGACACGTTGACTCTGACGGGGGGGTGGATTTTGGGGCTTCCTGGTGGATCACATCACATACGCAGCAGTCTTGTGTGTGTGTGGGGGGGGGGCAGGTGTCTTTGGCCCGAGGGGGAAATCCAAGATCTGCACGCAGAGCGCAGCGCTGATGGGTCAAAGGTAGCGGCGATGGTTCCAGCCACAAGGTCGCCACTGACAGCCACTGCTGCTGCGCAGAGGATGTGCAGTGCCTGGTAAAGAATGCCCTGAAATAGAATGCACGCGCTGCCACGCCAGCTGGCGGAGCATGTGCAGAAGGAGCCAGCGTCGCTCTTACAGAAGCGAACACGGGCGCGCGCGAGCCGCACCGCCACCTCGGCTAGAGCAGGCCCGACGCAGAGCGCCGAGCCTCCCCTATACAAGGTGGCGGCCGCGGCTCGCGTCCAGCGAGGACCTCGTCCCTGAACCGAGCCAGACTCGCAGAAGCCTCACCCGCACACGGGGCGAGCAGCTTTCGCCAGGTCAGGGCTTCAATCTAGCAGTGCGCCGCGCATCGGCGGCAGGCAAGGTAGCGGCCAGCTGGCTGCACCATGTGCACTTTGAACTTGACGCGAGCAAAATGGACGACGCGATTTCTATAGAGGAAACACCAGGAAGCTGCCTACGCATGAGCTTTCAAAAGCTCGCACTGACATCCGAACGCTTCGAAAGTAGCTATGCAGCATTTCGTTCCTCGCCTCTGAGGCCCGTGCTCAGGCCGCCGTCAGGATCTTTCTGCCCCGCACCTTTGCCTGTCGATGAGGGAGGTGGCAGAAGTTGCACTCGCTGCCCCGCAGGCACTTGCCCCTGAATTGCAGGTGGCAAGGCCGGCACCTGCCCTCGTCGTGTACGACTCTTTCAACGCTGGGACAGTCCTGGGCCACCTTCTCGCTCTCCGCGGCGGGTGCCCGTCGAACCACGACCTCCGCCTGGCCGTCGGGACCGACAAGGGCCTGATTCGCCTCGGAGCCCTCGCCGCGGGGCGGGATGGCGCCCTCCAGCGGCTGCATGCTTGAGGACGAGGCCGAGCTGCACCAATCCACCGCCTCCGCGCGCTGCTCGCTGTGGCTCCAGGAGCGCGCGCGCGCCCGCGGCTCCGAGACCGCGCGCGGCTTGCTGGGGACCCCGTTGGGGCTGACGTGCACGAAGGTGTTCTTCACCTGATCCTGGAGCCGCCTCATCCCGGTCATGTTCGTCGAGCCCACCGCCATGCTGGCCACATTTGTCCCCGTGCCCCCGGCCATGACCAGGATGGAATACCTGTCGGGCTGGTGGACGCTCACCGAGACGCGCTCGCGCAGCTCGCCCTTGGCCTGTTTGCGCTTGACGCTGCACACCGCGACCGGCATCGTGGCAACCCTGTGGACCATAATGTAGTCTCTGAACGGCTCGAGGGCCGCCGCGGGCACCGGCGTGTCCTTCAGGCGAAGCCAGCTGCGCTCGACGGCCTGCACGGGGTGGTCCGCGGTCATGGTGAGCGCAGTCCCGTCTGAGAGGGACACCTCCACCCAGTCGATGGCCTCGGAGCCAGCATGCGCCTCGGAGACCTTGGCGTACTTCACCGTGCCCCCCAGGGAGTCGAAGCAGAGCACCAGCTGGCCGGGAACAAGCCGCCCCACTGGCACGGGCTCCGCCTCCCCGCTCACCCACACCGTGGCGGAGGGCGGGAAGCAGTCCACGCCGTCCTCGGGGCACCCGTCGTCCTGGAGCGCAGCCGCGTCCGCGCAGACCTTCGGGGCGGACGGGAGCATGGCCGCGGGCGCGCTCTTGACCGACGGGTTGAGCGAGGAGCGGGCGCTCTTCCGCGAGGAGGGCGCGCGAGGCCCATCGCGCAGCGGGTTCAGGCGCTGCGAGAAGTGGGACAGGCTGTCGACGATGCTGCCGGTGGTGGGGGGGGCCTGAGAAGCCTGCCGCAGGGACTCGAACTGAAACTCGGCCTGGCAGCGCAGCACCTTCTGCCTGACGACGTCTTCCTTCGACTCGACCAGGTGCTCGAAAAACTGTCGCGACGACCTCTCCGCGCGAAACTTCGCTGCGACCTGGATCACCATGCCGACCGCGAATAGGAATATCTCCGCACACTCCCTCTGCGCGTCCTGGGGCTGGCCCCACGACTCGCTGACGGAGCGGGCCGCGAGGAGCAAGCCAGCGAAGGCCGAGGTCCCAAGCAGCAGGGCCAGCATCGCCTGCCGAGCGAGCAGCACGAAGTGCGTCATGTAGGACAGCCACACGTACAGCAGGAAGGCATGCAAGAGGCTGTACCAGCCAAGCACCCACTCGGACTCCTGGACCACCGTGTCGCGTCGGGGGACGCCGAATGGCTTGTAAAGCTCTTTCCAGAACGCGGTCTGCACTTCCACGTGAGTGAACGTCGAGACGATGCAGTCGAAAAAGATGGTGAACACTGGCAACCAAAAGCTCTGGCGCATCTTTGCGCGCGCAGCCAGGGCCACCGAACGCACCAGGCACGAGGCTAGGGTAGCAACCAACGGAAGCTTGTTGACGTGCAAGAGGGTGGTCTCGTTCGCGATCAACAGAACTATCGCAGATATGGCCGCTACGGCGACAAAAGCGACCTCGTGGCGCGCTCTCTCAGACCATGTCGCTGAATTGAAGTCCGTGGTCGCGACAGCGTGTGTCGCCGCCATGGTATGCCGAGGGAGCAAGGAGCAGCGAGTGCAACTGCAGCCTCGAGCCAAAATGGCTCCGGTGGTGTGCTGGCCGTTGTGGCTTGCCAGCGCTCCAAGACGGCCCAAGAAGCCCCCAAGACCACCCCAAAACGGCCCAAGAGGCTTCC